ATTTGAATACGGTTTTCAATAGATGGTGTTTCTGATGAGAATGGTATTCTTGGCCAAAGCACTCCCAAACCACACACAGTTATCTCATAGGAAGAAGGAAAGGAATGTAGAAGAGAAAAAGCATATATATGTATCTTAGAAACAAAAAGGAAGAAGGATATTTGGATGAATGTTAACCTTTAATGAAGTAAGGATAACAAAAGTTGGAGGCCAAAGTCAGAGAGAAATTAACCCTCAAATGACAAATCTTTTATTCACTTGGGAGGTACTGCAAGGCCCTTTCCAGAGGAATGTTCAAGTGTTCGAAAGATCTAAGCTTTATGGAAAGTTATCAGTTCATAGATCATTGAATCCCTACAGTGTGGAAACAGGCCCTCCAGCCCAACAAGTCCACACTGACCCTCAGAGCATCCCACCCACACCCATTCCCCAATAGCCCACCTAATCTATACATCCCTGAACACCATGGGCAATTTAACAAGGCCAATCCACCTAGCCTGCACATCTTTGGACTGTGGGAGGAAACTGGAGCACCCAGAGAAAACCCACGCAGACATGGGGAGAATGTACAAACTCCACGCGGACAGTCGCCCGAAGGGAGAATCGAATCCAAGTTCCTGGCACTGTGAGGCAGCAGTGTTAACCACTGAGCCACAGTTCAAAGGAAAATGAAGAGACAATGTGGTCCTCGGCAGTAGTTCTTACAATGGTAATATGGGATGTTCAAATGCGTTGGAGAGCTGCAGGCTATTGGACAGTGAAGCAGGAAGGGAGTTGAAGGGATTACAAGTTTTTCTGTCAATGAACCAACCTGCATTTTCTAATTTGGCTGATGGTCTATTTCAGACATGGGGGATTATTTCTGCAGTGCATCCCCCCTCTTTCATTTTTAGCACACAATGATAAAACATGTATTAAACTTCTCTTTTCTCTTCTTTCACTGTCCAGATTGCACTGTCCAGGTCAGGAGCTGAGTGGCCCTGGCAGAACCCAAACTGGGCATCATTGAGCAGGTTATTGCTGAGCAGGTGGGGTTTGATGGCACTATTTTTGATGATCGAGAACAGACTGATGGGGTGGTAATTGGCCAGGTTGGATTTGTCCTACTTTCTATGTACAGGACATACCTGGGCAATTTCCGCATTGTCAGGTAGATGCCAGTGTTGTAACTGTATTGGAACAGCTTGCCTAGGGGAGTGGCAAGTCTTCAGTACTGTTGCTGGAACGTTGTCAGGGCCCATAGCCTTTGTAGTATCCAGTTTCTCCAACAGTTTTTTGATATCACATGGAGTGAAACAAATTGGCTGAAGACTAATATCTGTAATGCTGGGGACTGCTGGAGGAGACCGAGATGGCTCATCCACTCGGCATTTCTGGCTGAGGATTGATGCAAAAGCTTCAGCCTTATTTTTTGCACTGATGTGCTGGGCTCTTCCATCGTTAAGGATGGAGGTATTTGTGGAGCCGCCTCCTCCAATAAGTTGTTTAATTGTCGCAACTGGATGTGGCAGGACTAAAGAGCTTAGATCTGGTCCATGTGTTGTGGGATCGCCTAGCTCTGTCTATTACTTGCTGCATATGCTGTTCGTCATGCAAGTAGTCCTGCTTGGTGGCTTTACCAGTTTGACGCCTCATTTTCAGGTATGCCTGGTCCAGCCCCTGGCTTAATGGCAATGTTTAAGCGGGAGATATGCCAGGCCATGAGATTAGAGATTGTGCTGGAGTACAATTCTGCTGCTGTTGATGGCTCACAGCTCCTCATGGATGTCCAGTCCTGAGTTGCTAGATCTATTCGAAGTTTGTCCTACTTAGCATGGTGATAGTGCCACATCATACGATGGAGGTTACTCTCAATGTGAAGGTGGGATTTCATCTCCACAAGGACTGTGTAGTAGTCGCTCTTACGGAAACTGTCATGGACAAATACATCTGCAGACGGCCTTGGTTCAAACAGGGACAAAAAGAGCTGAATTCCAGAGGTGAGTTGAGAGTGACAGCCCTTGATATCAAAGCTGCATTCAACTGAGTGTGACATCAAGGAGCCCTAGCAAAACTTGAATCAATTGGTATCAGGAGCAAACTCTCCGCTGGTTGGAGTCATACTTGACACATAGAAAGATGGCCGTGGTTGTTGGAGGTCAGTCATCTCAGCTCCAGAACATCTCCGCAGGAGCTCCTCAGGGTAGTGTCCTCGGCCCAACTATCTTCAGCTGCTTAATCAATGACCTTTCCTCCATCATAAGGTCAGAAATGGGGATATTCGCCGATGATTGTACAATGTTCAGCACCGTTTGCAACTCCTCAGATACTAAAGCAAATGCAACAAGATCTGGACGATATCCAGGGTTGGGCTGACCAGTGGCAAGTAACATTTGTACGACGCAAATGCCAGTCTATGACCATCACCAATAAGAGACAATCTAATCACCATGTCTTGGTGTTTCCTCCATTAAATCCCCCACTATCAACATTCCTGGCAGTTATTATTGACCAGAAACTCAACTGGACTCACAGCATAAACACAGTGGTTACACAAGCAGATCAGAAACTAGGAATACTGCAGCAAGTAATTCACCTCCTGACTCCCCAAAGCCTGTCCACCATCAACAAGGTAGAAGTCAGAAGCGTGATGGAATACACCCCACTTACCTGGATGAGTGTAGCCCCAACAACATTCAAAAAGCTTGATGCCATCCAGGTCAAAGCAGCGTGCTTGATTGGCACTACATCCATAAGCATCCACTCCCTCCACCACCAACACTCAGTAGCAGCAGTGTGTACTATCAACAAACGCACTGAGAAATTCACAAAAGATCCTCAGACAGCACCTTCCAAATCCATCATCACTTTGATCTAGAAGGACAAGAGCCACAGGCATGGGAACACCACCACGTTCAAGTTCCGCTCCAAGCCACTCGCTTTCCTGACTTGGAAATTTATTGCGATTCCTTTACTGTCACTGGGTCAAAATCCTGGAATTCCCTCCCCTAATGGCATTGTTGGTCAACCCACAGCAGGTGGACTGCAGTGGTTCAAGAAGTCAGCTCATCAACACCTTCTCAAGGGCAGCTAGGGACAGATAATAAATGCTGCCCAGCCAGCGACACCCACATCCTACAAATGAATTCAAATTAAAAATTTCTGCTTGAAAATTGTTTCATGGGATCTTTCACAGCTACCTGAAATCAATGGAATGCAAAGTTGCCTTTTTTTGTTTTAAAGCAGCTAATTGGCAACTTGTTTTATGCCTCAGACCAGGTCAAAAATCAACCCCGCTACCAGTGATCTTGCGTTGCTAGATGTGGGCATGGCTGCCTGTTATCTTACTGTGGAATAAATGATTATGCAAGGATGTTTGGGCAGCAGCCACGTTATATACATCCTGAACTTGTAATGTATCAAAGTGAGCATAAAATTTCTGATCTGAAAGAAAGCAGTCCCTCTGAATTGTGCTACGGTTGAGTATGTGTAGCTTTTCTGTTCAAGTGTCTGTAACAGAACTTGAACTGACAGCTTCTGGGTCAAAGTCTGACATCACACATGTTTGAATGAAGTTGCTGACTTTGCTGATGATCATATTTATGTTTTCAACATCAGTAATCTTATGAAGCAAATGGAACCATTGTTACATTGTTGGCAAAAGTCAGTGAGAAAGCTGAAAAAGTGTTTATTGATTGTCAATAATGTAAAAGTGCTGGACATAAACTTTAATTTGATGCTCTTTCTGAGCAATACCTCCTATTTTCTACACTTCCCTCAGTAACATCTCATCACTTGTAACATATAAGGGCTGGCAAATTATGATAACGAGATGATCTTACATTGTGAGATGAGGCCAGCCATTTAGTATGCAGACGTACCCAGTGTCTGTCTGCTTGGCTTAGAGTATTAACACAATTTTTTGAGATGCCAAGCTTGGTTCAGTGGTAACAATCAAAAGGCCATGGGTTTAAATGATATGCCAGATACTTGAGTAAATAATCCAGGATGGCATTTCAGTGTAGTCCTGATGGACAGCTGCAAAGAGGGTATCATCTTTCAGATGAGATGTTAAACTGAGACTCCATCTGCCTTCTCAAGTAGATGTAACAGACTTGCTAATACTATTCAAAAAAAGCAAGGTAATTCACCTGGCTTTCTGTCCAATAACGATCTCTCAGCAAACATCAGTAAGGTGGATATTCTGGATATTATCATGTCTGGTTATGGGAACTTGCTGTGTGCATATTTGCCACATTTTCATTGTCTACATCTCAAAAATATTTCATTTAATGTAAAAACGTTTTGGGATACCTCGAGGCCTTGAATTGCGATATCCAGATCTTTCAACTGGTAGGTTTTAATAGCGATGCCAATTCAATACTTGGGTGTAAAATGAAAGATCTAACCTTTATTTCTTCGTTTGTAATTTTTGTTTCAAATTGGTCACCTTTGTTAACACATCCTTATGAATGTGATAGTTGTAAAACCTGTGCTTACCACCAGAGTGATTGCATTCACATTCAGCTACTGAAGCTTTGGTGTTATCCAAGTAATAAAATCCTTCTGATCAACAGAGATTTTAAAAAAAATCTTTATGCCATTTGCAATCATTTACATAGTCTTTTCTATAAACTGTTTGTTTTAAGATTATTTGTTCCCTCATGAGCCTTCACATCTGGATTGATGCTACTTTGATCATTATTGTGTTTGTATGTCATTTAAAATCTGTCTAATGTATGCAATCTACTGCTAAATAAAAAAGAACTACCATTCAGTGCAGAGTAAGTTCTTTCTTATAGTAATATGATAGATAAGACAAATTATTTTGTCATCTTTATTTTCTGTGGATTAACTCAGTCATCAAAGTATATATTAAATTACATTCTTTCTAGAATTAGATTACAATGCAATTTAGAGATAACAAAACATGATGAAGATATTCTATCAACAGTATTCCCATGACAGTTTGAAAAGCTCAGAGTGTACTACTGAAAACTTATCTCCTCATCTTTTTATAGCCTAGCTCTTCACCCACGGAAACAAATCCTAGTGACTGGAAGTGATGAACGCCTCTGGAAGATGTGGTCCATTCCCAATATTGACATTATCATGACGGGTGAAGGTCATGGTGATTGGCTTTCTGGCTGCTGCTTCCATCCCAGGTTAGTGCAAACATTGCATTCAGTCAGCACAAATCCCTGCTGAGAGCAACTTTACATATTTTTGTTTGCAGTAGTCTTTTCATTTCTAGGCTGAACTGATGACACAGTGCTTCATGTTTGCTTTTGCTTCTCTTCCATATAGTGTAATGCATTTATAAATGAACTTGGTAATTTTCCTTGACAGCCTTGTGATATTGACTGTAACGTTACTGATGTTACTACAATGTGAATCTCCAAGTGTTATTTACCAGTCCTCAACCATTATTGAGTGAACCTATTCATTTGGTTTTCAGGAAACATAAAATAAAGTTAGATTTTGAATGAAGGATACAGTTACGATTTTCCAGCCTAAAGCTATGCTAAAAATATTCTTTACTTTGACCCAGCCAAAAAACCAGTCTAATTCATACTGCTAGAAAATTTCAAGTCTCAAGTGCCCCCAAGGGGAAGGGAGCAATAGATAGTGTAAGAGTATGTCGCCTGTACACAAAAAAAAAGACAATATAACCTGACCAATTTCCACTTCATCAGCCTCTTCTTGATCTTCAATAAAGTAATGCAGTGTGTCATCAATAATGACTGCACCGAGCAGCAAGCTCACTGACTCTCGGTTTGAGTTTCACCAGGGCAATTCATTACAGCTTTCTTTCAAGTGAGCTGAAAAACAGAGTTGAGGTGAGAATGAGTGCCCTTGACATCAAGGCCATATCTGACATCAAGGAGTTCTACCAAAACTGGAGTCAATGGAAATCAGATGGAGAACTAACCACTCTTGGTGTTATATCTGGTACAAAGGAAGATGGTTGTGGTTATTGGAGGTCATCTCAGCTCCAGAACATCTCTGCAGGAATTCCTCAGGGTAGTGTCCTTAGTCCAATGAACTTCAATTGCTTCATCAATGACCTTCCTCCATCGTAAGGTCAGAAGAGGGAATGCTTACATCTAATTATTCAATGTTCAGCACCATTTGCGAATCCGCAGATACTAGTGCAATCCATGTCCAAATGCAGCAAGACCTGAAACCCACTATCAACATCCTGGGGTTATCATTACATTGGACAAGCAACATAAATACTGTGGCTGCAAGAGCAGATCAGAGGCTAGAAATACTACGGTAAGTAACTCATCTCCTGACTTCACAAAGTCTGTCCACCATCTACAAGGCACAAGTCCAGAGTGTGATGGAATACTCCCCACTTGCCTGCATGTGCGCAGTTCCAATGACACTCAAGAAGCTGGACATCATCCAGGACAAAGCAGCCCACTTGACTGGCATCACATCCACAAGCATTCATTCCTTACACCGCCGAGGCTCAGCGGCTGTGTGTACCAATGGACAAGGTGCAGTGCAGTAATTCTCTCAAGCTTCTTAGACTCCACCTCTCAAACCCATAACCAGTACCATTTAGAAGCAGCAGATACATGGGAACACCATCACCTGCAAGATCCCCTCCAAGCCACTCACACCTTGACTTGAAAGTATATCATCATCCTTTCAATGTAACTTGGTCAAAATCTCTCCTTAATCACATTGCAGGTACACCTACATCAAATGGATTACAGGGAACAAGTCAGTAGCTCAACATCTCCTTCTCAAGGGCAACTAAGGATAAGTAATAATCAAACAGTGACGTCCACCTTTGATGAATGAATTTTAAAAAATGTTAATTGTAATATACTACACCTGCAAATTTAAAAAAGAAATATACCCCAGACATGGGAAATCATTCGAATATTACAAACGTCAAACCCTCAGCATACGGCAGTTCACTAATAGCACAGGAGTACAAATATAATCAATCTGCTTGCATGTTACAGATGTTTTACATCAACACTGCTGGATCACCAAGTGCAGATATATCACCATGCTGTGACTTGCATTAATTGCAAATCATGATTCAATCAAGTATCAGTGCCACAGCAGAAACTGCAGCACACTAATAAAGAACCACTCTTACACCTTAATTTTAAAGACAAACAGAATGCCTCACTTTCTTCTGAATTAGTGTGGCTGAAATTTCAGCACTGCTGCAGCCAGAAGAATGAAGAGCAAAAGGCTAAACAACTTTCTCAGGATCAATCTATATTTGGGAATATTGTCTCTGAGATAAAGTTTTTAAGGGATACCTGAGCTCAGATTATAAAGATGAATAAATAGCTGAAGGAAGCGGGATGAACTACAAGTGATGTATTGCTAATACAATAAATGTGTTGTTCCTCTACGAGACAACCCGAAGCAACTCATTTGTGAAGTATATCAGGCTCAGCATGAGCAGTTAGAGAAACATTGGCTGGACCTCAAAGCAATGTTGGAGGAAATGACAGACTTACAAAAACAGTGAAGAAGCGTAACCCTCACAAGGAGCTGCAAACCACCGAAGAGCTGGTCATTTCAGAAATAAATGCCAGCAATGATACTCCAGTGAGAGAATTTGAGCAAAACATAGAGGAAACCAAACAAGAGATAACACAGTGTGGAACTGAAGGAACACAGCAGGCCAGGCAGCATCAGAGTAGCAGGAAAATTGACGTTTTGGGTCGGGACTCTTCTTCAGAAAAAAACCAAATAACCAATGTTGCAGCTAGTAGAAGACATTGACAAGCTAGTAGAAGACAAGGGAAAGGATCTTATTGCAACCAACTGAGAGGTGGGTGCATAAAGGGGAGCAAGTTCAACCCACTTCATCTAGGAATGTGACAGTTTTGAGTATCCATCTGGAACCATAATAACCTGGAGTGTGATCATAACAGAAGGATAGGGACACTGTATGTTTACCATTGCTTTATGAGAGCTGATCTTTTACTCCAGGTGCAGTGCATAGAATAGAATAGAATATCCTTTATTGTCACTTGTACTACAATACAGAAGTATAGGAGTACAGTGAAAAGTTTTTACAATGGCTGCCTTTTAATGGCACCATCTTAGGTGCAAGTACCTAGGTACAAATCTTACAGAGTGAAAAAATAGTATTCTTACACAAACAGGATTAAAGGAAAGCATAAGCAGTCTGATAACAGCAGCTCAGCATGCGATGCCAGGCCCAAGTCCAACAATTGTCCCGCATCGCTCAGCGTCCAGTCTGCACCTCACCGGTACTCAGCAGCAACAAGGTAAATCCTGTTGTACTGGGATTTGAACCTCGTCTCCTCCATCACTCCGGGACTCGGCCCCCCCCATTGCTCCAGGTACACAGCCTCTCCATCGCTCCAGAACTTGGTCCCTGTCGCACCGGGGACATGGCCTCTCCATCGCTCCGGGGACTGGGCCCCTCTGATGCTCCATGGACCCAACCCCTTCGACGCTTCAGAGGTATTGCTTCTCTGTCACTCTCAGACTGCTTTCTCCCACTTGCCTCAGCTCCTGCTCTTGCTACTGGCCCCCAGGACTCACTGCCTGTGCGATGCTCCAGGGCTGTAGTCAGTTCTTCCCTCATAACGATAAATTCACTTTTGTGATTAAAGTATGTCAGTTTCAAGCTTAAAATGGAATTCAATAGAGGTATGATCACTATTTCCCGGAAACTGACATATTTTAATCACAAAAATGAATTTATCGTTATGAGGGAAGATTTGTGATTAAAATATGTCAGTTTCTGGGAAATAGTGATCATACTTCTATTGAATTCCATTTTAAGTTTGAAACTGACATACTTTAATCACAAAAATAAATTTATCGTTATGAGGGAAGAACTGACTACAGTTGATTGTATAAATAGTTTAAAAAGCATGGTGGCAAATAATTAATGGAAAATGTCTGAAGAAACAATTCAAAATGTTGAACAAAAGTACAATATATTCCACTGAGAAACAAAACACAGCAAGAAAGACCCAACCGTGTTTTACTCAGGAAGTTAAAGATGGTATTAAATTAGAGACTTACAATGTGTCAACTAGAATTTCAAGTTGCATCCTTTGAGATCCATTTTAAAGATCTTTCTTGCAGTTGACACAATTTGAAAGATAATCAAATCATGGTACACATGGATTGCCTTGACTACCTCTGGAAATCACTGGTAAATCAGCAAAAATTAAAGTTTTTTTTTTCTTTTGGCATTGTACTAGCTAGCCTGTTACCAAGAAAGACATAAGACAAACATCTAACAGCGTACCAAGATAAACTTGCCCCAAGACTTTGATTTCATCTGGCCATTAAATTTTGTGATATAGTGGCTTAACTTTTAAAAACATAGCTCCTGAATCAAAACTTGGGTGCAAGAAACTGAAGCTGATACATGCTGAGAATCTCCGTAGGCAGTCAACCAATTGGCCACTGTAACTTCAGCAGAAAGGTGGAAAAACCCTGAATATATTACATCAGCAGTGGTTCTACCAATGATCTGCTGAAACTGGAGCAGATCATCACAAGAGTACCCTGATGCATTTCCTGATGTCAGGCATTAAACAGACTAGACCTCACTGTAACTTCTTCCAGTCCTACAATTCTGCAGAATTGTTATGCTCCTCCAACAGTGCACTCACAATTTTCTTTATTCCACTATTGGCAGTTACATCTTAATTACTAAGACCATAATTTATTGATTTCCCAATGTAAATCCTCTCCTCTATAATCTCTATCTCCCAGTTCTCCTTTAAATCTTAAAATTCCTGCAAGCCTGCTGTATGGTGTGGCTTAATGGCTTGGTGCCAAATTTTCACCATTAATGCCCCTATGAAATGTCTTAGGACATTTTACTATGGTAAAGGTGCCACACACCTGAATTTTATCAAAGACTGAATGTTAAGAGTCTCTGAAAATCCAAAGCTGAGGCAGAATTAGGCCCTGAAAACAGTGGTGCCTGGCAGTATATAAATTTCAAGATGCCTTTCCTGGCTATCGCAATAATCACCAGGAGGGTGAGACAGAAATTCTTCCCTCTTCACAGCTGAGGCCAATACGTTCATTAGAAATCACAAGAAGTCAATAGAAACCAAACCTTCAACAAAGACTGCCAATAACAAAGCTGCCTGGAGATGACTGAAGCTCAATGCTGCAGAAGATA